TAATGGTCGTCTGTTAAAAGGTTCAGCCAATCACCATCTGGAAGCTAAGGGCGGACTCATGAACATATGCAAAACGTCGTCTGTTGGTAGATTAAATCATTGCTGCTTACGAAACGGTACCTTACAAACTGGGGATGTGCTTAACCCTAAAGGGATTTTTGTCTTGATTGAAGCCCTTGATAGCGTATTGCTACTACTGGGGCGATGGCCCCACGAGACAATTTGTCCTTCACGAAAAGAACTTTGGTTGGATAGACGTATCGGATTCGAACAGTGAAGAGTCTGATCGCTTTGGCAAAAGGCATTATTATTATTATTATTATTATTATTATTATTATTTATTTTGACTACAAATGGGTTTTTACCCGGTTATGCTGGGTTATTGAAATCCGTCAGTTGGATCAAATAGGCACGCAGTTATGACGATACGTTATAAAACGTGGAACATAAGTAAGGAATGTTTATGATTCGGTATGGTGAATGCGGATAATGTAAAAGGAATCAGCATTACTTACGTATACTATAATAATAAATACGCACCAAATCGTACTGTCTTTACTGTTTTGTTTCCCGGAGATAATTATGACCAGAAGGCAAGACTCATTTTATCTGACCTTGTCGCTGGTGAAGGTCATAGAAGGCAGTGGAGTAGAACTGTGGTCACGTTCAGTGAAGAGGGCGGTGACATTGCGTGTTGCGTGCGAGAATTCAGTTGTGACCTGTGTCTTGTGATGATAGGTTCTTGATGCTGTGACTGTGCTAGACTTGTTCTAACGTTCCAATCTCGCCGCCATGATGGTAAGTACTGAATATAATTTCCATTACATCCGTAGAGTATCAAATGAACATCACTGTTTTCGTAAGGTATCTGATATTTCCAAGTTTTTGTATATATGTGAAACTATGATTGTTAGCGGAAGGAAGAACAGAGTGAGGCTGTTTAAGAATAGGGAAAATATTGGGCCTGAAATACATATAAATCAGCAGAATAATAGATAACTTTCAGTATTCGCCAAGCGTCATCAGTAAGTTAGCATCAAGGGGTATTTTGATGGCGTGATCTAGCTCGTACGTCGCTGTTGACTTGTATATTTGCATAGCTTATTGACTCCATGTGACAGAACGACGTCAAATAGATTAAGAATAAAGAAGAAATTGTTAAAGAATTTGCTTATTCGCAGAGAAAACAAGCTACACTCAGGTATAAATTTGAAACCGGTTTTAAACTGGTATTCTAACGTCTTGAAAGTAGCTTATTTTAAAAACATGACTTCGGAGAACTATGTAATTTGAATTAATTTGTTCTTATTTCATATTTAGGTTGTGTTTATATATATTTGGTTAACAGATGCGTTAGTTAACTTGTTTATGTTTCGGCTGAAAAAACAGAATGAATGTTGAATCCGTCAGGCTAATGAGTGTTATTTACGTTAGGTCCGGTAACTACGATAATCATACAATACAGAGATTGTCGTAGGTCACGTCATCACCGTATTGTAAGTTTGTCCCGATCTGCGTTTTGTGTACCAGGTAGTTTTGGATACAAAACAATATTGTTATTGTGAGTAGGATAATTTTGTTGGTTTCATTGGTCGCACGTTCCTATAAATCCTCTTCTGTACACCGAAGTTGATTTTGGCAGAGCCCGACTGACATCATTGTTCTAAAACACAATATTTAAGAAACTTTTAAGACTGTAAAATGACTCTGTTGATCTCAAGTATTAAAACATAACGATAAAACTGTTGGCATTTTTCGTGTTATTGTTCGTATGTGGACATTTTATCTTTGCAAAAGTATTTCAAATAATTAAGCTGAGTTATGAAGAATGATCTCAAGTATTAAAACACAACGATAAAACTGTTGGCATTTTTCGTGTTATTGTTCGTATGTGGACATTTTATCTTTGCAAAAGTATTTCAAATAATTAAGCTGAGTTATGAAGTGTCCCATAGACGATCAGTTAAAATGCCCAGTTAAACTATTCTAAACAAAGGCAAAAGACAACTGAGCAATGACTTTTAATACACGCATGATTTTGTGCATTCTTCAGTCATGGCTACCGAGAGACCTGGGTGATGTGATGGACATTGCTGCTGAGTAGAGGCGGGAAATGACTTGCTTATTTGACGTCGATATTAAGAAACTTTCGTTAGACACTACGTGAATATCGTGTGCTGAACCTCCCGATCGTTTTGAGCCCCACTTTTTCAACTTTTCTCGGAATACTGGTAGCATACAGATGTATGATCTGAAGCTTTCACGGCGACTAAGTATAATGAATTCGTCTCGGGCTACCAGCAGTGTAAGGCGACTTGATGAAGAAAACACCGACGTTTCGATAACCATCTTCGTCGTAGTCCTCAGGATGCTGAACGCCATTAAAGTACCTGACACGTCTGGCGGTCCGAGATGAATTCATTAAGCGATCAGCTGGTGTTTCGAACCGTTGCTTAAACTCGTTAAGCATTACGTACCCCCGTTCTTCATTTCTACATGGAAGCTTTCCATAATATAAGCAAAATTCGATAACATTCAAGGGATTTCAAGAAAGATTTTCTCATATTTGTTTCTACCACCAGCTTCCATATTTCCATTTCGAAACCTAGAGGCCAAATCAAAGAGTGCGCAAATAACTAATTGGGTCTCTTCACTACAAGATCAATCCTACCATTTGTACGCGATTCAAATACTCGATCTCTTAATTGTATGAATTGTGCAGGTTACATTTTTACCATAGTTATGTCGTCACATATGTATTTGGCATTCTAACTGATCGTGTATGGTGCCTCCTTGCATATCTTATGATTATTATGGATCGTGGTGCCTGATTTTAATGCAACGTATGAAGCTTTACGTAATATGTGTCTACCTCTAATTATGTACAATAGTGTTCCCATTTTAAGCTACATCATTCGACCTGAACATGATGACGTTTCATGTTATTTATTATGGAAAGTTTTATTCTTACAGTTAATTATGATTTATATCAGCCACTGCATCTTTACTGACACATCTAGTTATCTCTTTGATCTGATGTTTTACTACTGACAGTGTATAATTTGTGGTGGTTTATGTAATATTTGCTTATTTCCGACTCTTTCCTGTCTGCTGACATCGCCTTGTTGTGACGTAAGCAACACCATTGTAGTGTTAGTGTACTCCAAAGAGTACGTATTTCCTTTCTTCTTAATCGTTTACGGGATAAAAAGACGCTCTGTGATATGTAGAAACAGTTTGAGTGGCATCATTTCAAGTTTCGTCAGCTGTGAATGTAAATACAAGCCCACATAGAGACACAAAGGATTAATTTATGAACTCGGTATCAGAATCTTTTACGTATTACCTTACGTGATTCATCCTGCTACCTCAATCCGTAATTTATTAATAATTTTGATATCTAGATGTCTCATATTCTGATGTAATTTAAGCTAATGCTGATTAAATTAATTGCGATATAATTAATTTATCACATCGTCATTTGTTCTGTAGAATCTTAGTTTAACAACCACGTATATGGATTCTTATTGATTTTCCTCAGGCTCTCTAGATACATTTTTGTGCAAAATAC